ATAATAGTAGGAACGAACTTTTATAGTAGAATAACTTTGTTATACTTTTTAATATATAATAGTATAATATAAATTAGCATAATTGAGCTGTTAATATATAATTTTTATTATAGGTATAATAGTAGGAACGAACTTTTATAGTAGAATATATATTGTTAATTTTTATTGAAGTAAAATTTAATTTAATTGAAATTCCGCAAAACTGAACTGAGTAGGGATAAAATCGGCTACCTAATGTATTTAGCTTGAAAAAAAATTCGTACAAGGCTAAATTTCTTTATATCGGACTTTATACAATAAAAAAAAAGATCAAACTTTTTGGAAGAAACTGTACGTAAGATATCTGAAATCTACTAGTACCTATACAATTCTAGGTAGGTATGTCTTTATATTGAAAAAGTTAGACATATAAAAATAGAAAATGTGCGTTTGCAAGTCATTCGAACATCTGTTTTCCCAATATATCGTCCTCTATTCTTCTTACGTCTCAATGGAGTAAAAAACTAGTTTGGCCACAACCATTCACGGTTACTGTTTTAATCGAAATCTATAAATCTATCGTTCCTCGTGGTCAAATAATATCCAGAAGTTAATTACGTTCAAATTCCATAAAGCGTCTGCCGAGCCGGATCGATGATAATAAACGAAATTGATTCGAACAGACAGAAGACATCGACCGATCGTCTCTCACATTCGACGTTTCAATTCTCAAAGCCGGAAGAAAATAACTTTACGTGTATAATATATGAATTTAGAAACGACATTGAGATCCAACAGCGAAACATAACTGACACGAAAGAACAATTCTAATTCAAAAAGATTTTTTCCCAATTTGAAGTGAAAAATATGATGTGAACTTTTTCAATATTTTCTGAAATCTTACACTTACTCTTTGAGGGTAGTTTTCTTGAAATAGGGTCGCTATAGAAAAGCATAATTGACATGAAAAAACTTCTCGAGAAAATTTTATTTTGATTTGAAGTTAAAAGTATGACGTGAAGTTTTTCAATATTTTTTGAAATTTACCCTTTGAGGGTAGTATTCTTGAAATAGCGTCTTTATAGCAAAGCATAATCGACATAAAAGAACAATTCTCGAAAAGATTTCATTCTGATTTGAAGTTAAAAGTATGACGTGAACTTTTTCAATATTTTCTGAAATCTTACACTTACCCTTTGAGGGTAGTATTCTTGAAACAGGGTCGTTATAGCAAAGCATAATTGACATGAAAGAATAGTTCTCGAAAAGATTTCATTTTGATTTGAAGTCAAAAGTATGACGTGAAGTTTCCTAATATTTTTTGAACTTTACCCTTTGAGGGTGGTATTTTTGAAACAAGGTCGCAACAACAAAACATAATTGACATGAAAGAACAATTCTCGAAAAGATTTCATTCTGATTTGAAGTTAAAAGTATAAAGTGAAGTTTCCCAATATTTTTTGAAATTTAACCTTTGAGCGTGGTATTTTTGAAACAGGGTCGCACGGTTTTATTACACCGCTTAAAATATGAAGCGCAGTTTGTATCAATAATTTACCGGGGATATTAGACTTAGTCTGGATATCGGATTTAGTCGTCGTTTTCAACGTGTGTCGCGTGAAAATAACTGAATTGACCAATTGCCAGGAATCACGCTATTGATTCATGCGATAATGCGCATGCTGTTGATGGGATTATCAGAATTGAAGTAACCAAACAATTGAGAAATATGATAAAAACGCGCGTTAAAAACTGGAAGGGCGATGAATGCTCTTTAAGTATAATTTCGAACCATTGGTCAAATATATATATATAAATGACTGTGTCTAAAGTTTTTTGAAAACGACTGCTCTGAAAATTGTCAGGATATGTCACATCTCACCGTACTGTTGCTAGGTCAATTTCTATGGATTCGTTAACATAGCATTTTCATGGCGATGCCAATAATATTTCCCACGAACAGGTGGTGATCACAGGCGAAAAAAAAAAAAAAAGAGAAAAAAGAGAAAAGCACAGACGTCCACTCGTCGAACCGAAGTGGCCTTTTTGTTCGACAAGTAGCCCTATCCGTATCGCGAACACTATTGTTAGCGTTGTTTCGGAACCCATGGAAATTACAAAGGTGCTCCACTACAAGTGCTGTTACCGGTGCATGTAAATTGCTACGGTCTTCGATCTAACATTGTTGCTTGTCCGTGTGATCGTGTTGTACTTTACACAGGGTTTACTTTCACCATCTATTATTTATAAATGTTATAAATATTTATAACTCGATCGATTGGACAATTTTGTTGTTAAATTTTGTTTACAATCGCAATTTTATCGATAAAATTGTAAGCTAGAAAAAGGATGATGCATTATTGTCGGAGGAATCGATTACCATTAGGATATAACTCGAGACGAATAACAGAGTGTATTTTAGACGTTGCATGTTTTAAAAAATAGTAAACAAATCGATAGTTCATTTCTATTTTCACTTTATTAAAAATATCGCGAAATTAATTGAGAAGTGGGGTAGTATTAGCTCGACTCATTCGACTCATTCGCAGTCAGAGGAGACTTGGAGAGTCTCTAATTAAATTAACTATTGATAATTCTGTGTCACACACACACACACACACACATAAAAAGAAAAAAAAATGAATTTTTCCGAGTTGTGCCACCCATCTTGCAAATCGACCGTTCGCACGCCCTCTCCTCGTTTAATTGACACTGGGCTTCGTCAGGTGTGCGTAGACCTAGGCTCAACAGTTGCGACGCACAGCAGATTTCCCCCGTGGAAATTGATAGAACTTGAACAGGGTCGCGCGCGGTGATCAGCGTGCTAAGCTGGTGGAGAGCGCGGCGGTTGCAACAGGTGGGCCCTTTCGAACGCTCGCCAATCCCTTTCGCATCTCCTTCGCTTGTATAATGACGCGCGTTCTGCCCTGCCTCGTGTAAAAGGCATTATTCAATTCGATGAATGCCGCGCGACATAATAAATCAGAAAAAACGTGATACGATTCCTGGCGTACGAGTGTACACGCACAAGCGCGCTTGTCCTATCTGTGAAAGGAACCGGCCCTTTCCATCGTTCGCTTCTCATTATAGATATTACTTGCAGCTCTCTTTTTCTCTCTTTTTTTTTTTTGCATCTTTATTTTTCATTACACGTGATCGTTTTCACCAATTTCATGCGAAATATTTCGCATGAAATTTTAGAAAGGAGGAGAAAGGGAAAAAAGGAAAAAGAAAAAAAAAAAAAGAATGCAACGATTTTAAATTATACTGTGAAAGTTTGCACGGTAGTGCAAATGATAATGTCTGTAACCCTTGTGTAACCACGCCATATGACGTTCGATTCCAGTAATACAAACGCAGGAGAAATAGTACGGCTCGAGGTCTGTAATTTTCCGTGGAACCAATTAAACGCTTGTCAATAATGTATAACTTTACTGTGAGAATTTCAACGTAAACTCTCACCGCGAAATTTCGTTCCCTTTTCATCGTGATCGTTGCCCTCCCCACAAGGTTATTATTATTGCTATGCTCTCGAATTTAATCGTTTACAATTTACAAATTGCTCTCGCGATAAAAGACAAATGGGGAAAATCCATGTGCATTTTCTTGCAAGGTTAACGCGTCGCGAGGCGTTTCAACGAAGAACTGACGATGATTAATTTCATTTTCGCGAGCAATTTTAATCTGTATGGTCCGTAAAAAAANAAAAAAAAAAAAAAAAAGAAAGAAAAAGGTAAAAAACAAAATGAAGCTAGAAATCTCGTGCCGTGCGATTCTGCGAATTTCATCTACAAAAAACACGACCGAGCGTTGCATTGTAATAAGCAATTAACGATAACTTCACGCCAAGTATAAAGTACCGTAAAACTGTCGCTGTCGGGTTGGCCGAGCATGCGATCAACCAAAGCATAAACTCGCCCATGGAACTTTCATGTGGTTCGAGTAAAATTTTTACAAGCAGATCCGCGGTCCCGATTAAACGTACTTTGAACGAATCTCAGCTCGAATCGCTTTTTTATTCCCTTCGTCGTGGAACATTTAGCTACCGTACAGTGTCGACTATAAGTCGCATTTATCGAGAAAATTCTGAACAATTTTCGTTTGATTTGGTGTTTTGTGTCGGTGAATCAATATTCCACGTCAGATTTCACAGAATTTAAGGAGGTATTCTGGTAATACGGCTTGAAAAAAATCGACTTTTTTGGGGATTTTTTTTTCTAAGGAAACCATGATACATTTTGATACGCAGTTTTCGCACACAGATTTATTCATACTTAAAGAGTATTTACAATTTTTTCTTTTTAACGAAATTAATGAAATTTGTGGAAATTGTATAGCCTTAGGTAAAGGATGTTTTTAAAAACGGGTTCGAATGGCTGACGTGATTCCGGTCCATCTGGTTATTTGAAACTAAAGAACGGAAATGCATCTTAATTAGTATAAATGTGGCTATCGCACGAATCACGAAAACAACGAAATTTCGAAAATTAAAAAAATGGCAGCACTTTGAAGTTTAAATATCGCTTTTCCTTGTGCTTTTTGTCTTTTGGGTGGTAAAAAAAAATACCAAAAAACATCAGATTTTGAAATCCGTGGTTCATGCGATAAAGGTACATCCGGTGAAGATCTGCAAATTTCAAATCAATCGATCAACTAAAACGCGAGATATTCCGTCAGTCAGTTTAAA